CTGAACCAGTACCTGAACCAGTACCTTCGATGCGTAAGTATATTTCTTTATACTCGCGAAGTAATGATATCTGGATAGTTGCCTACCAAATATGACACTAGATGGTCGTCAATTTATGAGGTAATTTGCTTTGATACTGATAGGATTGCAGCTAATGGTCCCGTACAGACGGTGTCTTGATTTTGCCTGCATTAAGTCTTAAAACTTGTATCATTAATCAGAACAAGAAGAAGAATGCAATGACATGGCAGTTGAGGCAGTTGAATGATCGTCAATTCATGAGACACTTTGCTTTGATACTGATATAAATACAGCTAATGCCTGTATGGTTCTGTACAGATGTTTTTTTTTTATTTTGCCTGCATAAAGTCTTAAAACTTGCATCATTATTCAGAAGTCGTCAGTACTGTTGCTCCTATTCCTACTATTGGTAGGTGTATGTCTTTATACTCGCGAACTAATGACATCTGGATAGTTGTAAACAAATTATGGACATTAAATGATCGTCAATTCATGAGACACTTTGCTTTGATACTGATATAAATACAGCTAATTGCCTATATGGTCCTGTACAGACGGTTTCTTGATTTTGCCTGCATTAAGTCTTAAACTTGTATCATTAGGTCCTGCATGGCATCAATGTTACATCGGTAAGAATACATAACGGAATACAGGCACATTGTGTTAAACAATGACAACGTAATAGCATAGAATTTTCTACAATAGGATTTGTTAGTCTTATTATTGGTGCCATTATCATACCGTGTAGAGCTTTTATGGAGGATGGTAATGTATCACGTGCAGGGCAAGATACATGGGTATTTGGATGGGACATGGCCATGGACAAGGCGACATGTGATCTGACCTTTGAGGCCTGTCAAGTGACCCTGCGCGTTGGGGAGGATGAGCGCATCCACACGCTACCGGAGAAGGTGTTGTCATTGTTGGTAAGCCATTACATTATTTTGATATATCATACATAACCTTGGTTATTTGGACGAGTAGTAAACAAATATCGCTGAATATTAGACGTCTTTAAGAGGAATCAAGGAGGCTGACTACATCCGGAACACACCATCCATGCAGCACTCAACAGAGACGGCAGGCGGTGTAGACTCCCTAGCACTTTCGACCAATGGCTGATATCGGTAATCAAGGTGATTAGCCAATTGACTTCTGAGGAAGATTCCAAAGATTCCAGTGACGCAAGTTTTTATCATCAATCAACATTTTACCTCTATACTGTTCAAAGCTATCCTAATGCTTAATGCTGTGTTGGTACAAGGAATTATGAAATAAAGACTAAACTTTATCTCCAACACTGGAATGAACTGCGACTTACCTAAATACTCGGCTGACTCCTTCAACCTTGTTCACGGCATGGACCCGCCTACTCTTGGACGTGACGTCCACTAGAGATTCACAGGCCTACCCTGAACAGAGACGGGGGGCGACACAAGTTATCTGTCACGTATGACCCGCTACTATGGTCACGTGTCTCTGTCGTTCCAAGAGTAGACCGGTCCATCCGTGAACAAGTTCGATGTAGTCAGCGGCGAAAATTTGGGTAAGTCCCAGTTCATTCCAGTGTTGGAGATAAAGTTTAGTCTGTATTCCATCCTAATGCTATTTTAAAAACTGCCCTTTGTCCCGTAGGAGCTGCATCATGGCGACCAGAAGGTGACAGACCGCCAAAGGCTTGGTGACCTTGATCTGCAGTGGGTCAACATTCCCATTGTAGAAACTCCGGCAAACCCAGACAAATTGGTCTTCAAGATACAAGACGTACATCCTGATGTTACAGGTGACTTTTTGCACAACAAATTTTCAATCTTATTTTGGTTGGGTAAGATTTCAGTTTGATCCTCGGCAACTATCAATATAAAAAACATATAAAAGTTGTACTCACCAAAAGTCGGTCGAAAATCCGTATGGTAATGTGTGTCATTTCTTTGTAATGAATTTAGATTTTCCAGCAATACAGTCTTACTTTAGAAATAGAGTACCTTTTTATTTGAATCGATGGTATACTAAGTATCACGTTGTATTATCACTAGGAGGGCTTGAGATCCAGGTGACTGTACCGGAGAGCAATTACAAGCTGAAGATGACTGTCCAGAAAAATGACAACGTACACGACATCAAGCGTAGGCTGCGCAGGGTGTATGCTCGGATGGTAGGTTACAAGCTCACACCTTCACCACATACATTATAGATAGAACATTATCACTGACTCGACAAGTAACATTTGCAAAGGAAATTCATAATGTTTACCTCCACTTGGTCTAGCTACTACTGCACTGTTTATTCATTAAAGCCAAATACATTAATACATATTGTGAGAGCAGCACCTCCAACTCCTGGTACTAGTATCCCAACACCACAGGGTGTTGCTACAGTACCAGTTACCATGGTGACAGACGTCTCGTCGAGGTCATTGACTTTATTTGTTTGAAACGTAAGGAGAAGAAGAAACTGAGCAAAAACAATCTGTTTTTCTTCTGCGAAGGTAAACATTATTACATTGCCATCGCCTCGATGTTTTTAAAACTAGTATCACGATTTTTTCCAGAACGTGGTGCATGATGGGAAGGTGATAACGGACCTGACCCAAACGTACCGTCAGCTGGGAATCCAGGCTACTGCGCATGTGCAGCTGCAGTCTTGGGACCCAGAAAACCCACCTGTTTTACCAACTTATAGTGGTCAGTAACGCTCCGCAAATGTCTTGGGTTATGGTTCAGCAACTAGTAATAACGAAAGTCGTGACTATAATTACTCTTAGGTTATATTGTATTACTAACATTTCACAGTTGTTTCAAGTCTGAGCATCTGATAATGATAGCAAGTGACTAACTTTGGTCTGTAATCTGAGCTTTCTTCTACTTAGATGTCAGCAAATTCTAACCAAGGTTTATAGAATTTGCACGTACATTAACAGTGCACCGCCCTCTACCCTATATCATAATGGCATCAACAGTACAATAATTTTTAATCTTTCGATGATATCCAATGTCGGATAAAACGGATTTTCTTATTTTACTTTCAGAAGTCGAAGAGATCGAGGAGGCAATAGAGTCACTGATACAAGAACTTCAGGTATCGTTTTACCGATGTTGAATTTTATGTAATATATTTATGGCTTCACCACAAAGTGGTGAAGACATATTGTGTTCCCTCATGTTTCTTCTTCTTCCCCTGCCATTTCTTTAAATGGATTCATCTCTGCCATTTTCCGGCCAAATAACACGAAATTTGGCATGAAGGTAGAGTGGGCAAATACCCCGACGGGTTTTTTTCTTTTTTGTGAAAAATTGTTTTATTTAGGTTTTTTGGCCATTTTCAGGCAAAAAATATACATTTTGAGATCTGGTTCCCAGGTACTAAAACCAAATGACCTGAAATTTGGTATGGGGATACCTTAGACATATGTCTACAAAAACTCATTCAAGCTTTTGACATACACCACTTTAAAATTGGGAAAAATAAGGCTTTTTGACTATTTTCGGACCCAAAATGTACATTTTTGGCTCCTGTGCCCTAATATTAAATCTGAATGACCTGAAATTCGGTATGGGGAGTACCTTGGACACGTGTCCGAAGAATGACCATTCACGCTTTTGACATACACCACTTTAAAATTGTGTAAAATAGGGCTTTTTTGCTATTTTCGGACCAAAAATGTACATTTTTGGCTCCTGTGCCCTAATATTAAATCCGAATGACCTGAAATTTGGTATGGGAATACCTTGGACACATGTCCAAAGAGTGCCATTCACGATTTTGACATACACCACTTTAAAGTTATGTAAAATAGGGCTTTTTGGCTATTTTCGGCATTGGAAGGTTCCATTTCTGCATGGGGGTGTAGACTATTGGCAGCCATCGTAGGATAGATCCATTTTCGGTATGGGGGATAGGGTGAAGCCATCTGCTGCATTTGCTCTCAAGCAAATGTCGGCCTTTCTAGTTGTATTTAAGCTTAAGCCGTGTGTCCTTACGTGCTTACTATATATAATAACACTTTCCTCTCTTCTCAGTATCCACACCTTATCACTTTGAAGTGCGCATGGTCAAAGTAAACTTCACAGAAGACCTCAACAACAGAGATTCCTTAGCGTTCAGGTCCCTGGCCTACAGGGTCACCACGGTGGTGAGTTGTTTTCAGATTGTATATATCTATTGAATGATTCTTTGCTGTGTTTAATTGTAAATTCTTGCATACTGTCAGTGTATTGGATATGTTAGAATATTCTCTTATTTTGTGCAAATTTCTTGTGGAACGTACCGTATCCTGGTTCTAGCTATTTATTGTGCAGGCGTAGCTTTTGTTTGTTTTGGGGCTATTTGAAGTGCTTCAAGTATGAAATAATG